AGGCAAAGAAACCAGCTCGAGCCACATGTCGGCCTCCGATTGGTCGATTTCACAGTCATGTTCCTACCTAATTAACCAATAATTCCCAAGATTCTTTCCTATTTTTACCTCTAACGTTAATTCTACATGCAATTTGTGTGAAAATCTCTATTACGGGAAAAGTGAACAAAAAGTGGAAATCCTAAGTGTAAATGTTGCCAAGAGCTTTGAGTTGGTATGTATTGTATAGTGAAGTGTTGAAAAGTGATGTCGAATTGTCCCTTTTTTTTGGTGTGAGTGTTGTTAATGGAATATTTTCGAGAATGTTAGAATATCACTTATGAGTTGTCCCACATTGTTTATACATGGAAAATAAACCCACCTTATAAGTCTAATAGACTACTCTTCCATCCATCAATTGATTTTGGGATGGAACCCTACTTGGGCTTCATATGGACTTTTCTCCGTTCATGGTGCGCTTCATGTTAATGGGATAGCATCCATTTTTCCCGAGTTTCTGTCAAAGATGAATTATAGGTTTGTTTATGTAGCCAATATGTGTAATTGGGTTGTCTGTTTGATTTATATTATTGGAATTTTTTTTTTTTTTAAAAAAAAATCTAAATCTAAAAGAGGTGTTTCTATTGTTATGAAGTTAGTGAAAAAAGTAATTTTAGTCATGTGTAAAAGGTATGGGTTTGAGAAATTTTGTGAAGTTATTACTTAAAATTTGGTGCTTGAAATTTTTGTGGAGTATATTAATTGCATTTACATCTCATACATTTAGTCCTTTAAATATCATTTCGTAATTATTAGGGAAGCCATAGATATGCGCTTCAGCCAATTTAATGAGTTTCATCTTTTACTTTAATGAAATTAATATATATATATATATCAATTAAATGTATTATAAAACCAACTAGATTAATATTAAAAGAACATAAATATAGTAACATTATTAGAATATATAAGAGAGAGAAAAAAATATTGTGTAAAAAAATATGTAAAAAAATCGATGTTTACCCCTTTTTTACCGATATTTTTTCGTTTTAACATGTATTTTAAGGTATGCGATCATTATAAACCGATTTTGATATCATATGTTTTGCATAATCAATATAAAAACATAAGTAACATGGACAATCCACTATCTTAGCATCTTTTTCTCGAGCTAATCGCCAGCAAGTTGACCACATAATGCATTGATTACAAAGCTTTGCAAAGTGTAATTAATCATCACACATAATTTATCACTTAAAATCTAATGACAATAATCATTTTTGTAGTCAAAGGAAATCGAAGATGGATTTATACAGCACAGCCTGATAAAAAGTGGCTGTGTTTTTATATAATTTATTTGGATTTGCTGTGTGTGGAGACCTAAAGTCCCTTTCTAACTATTATTCAATTGTTTTGCTGTGTTATGAGGCCCTGTCTACATGATTAAAGTTAGATTCGTGCTCTGTTGATTAAATTTACATGTATAATAGCATTATATAAATAATTATCATGGCTAAAGTTTATAATACGGCATAATTGAAAAATATGTATCAGCTTTAATTGAATTGTAATTTAACCATAATTTTTTTTTAATTCCAATTATAAGGTACGATTTTTAAATTTTTTGTCGATTGATACAAGGACTTAGATTTCAGTGATCAATGAATGGTGTATACGAAAATATTTTTTAGTATAACTTGCAATATTAAAAGCAAAAACAGAAAAAAAGAAAAAAAAAATCAACTCAAATATATGGTTGAACTTGATAAAACTTTGGTTTGTGTAACCTGCACTATTAAAAGTTGTGTTTTAAATTACCTAATAAAAAAAATGAAAATTGTGTTTTAAATGACCTAAGAAATAGTATGACTATCTAATTGTTAGGTCTGTCTAACAACAATACTAATTTGAATAAAACACTAAATGTAACATGAATAGATTATAATTTGCATAATGTACGACTATGATAATTAACTGAATATCATGATTTGGTAGTATTATATTTTGTCAAGATCAAGATACAAATTTAATTTATATTGCTATATTTTTATGTGCCTTGTTCCCTATCAATTTAATACAAACAAAATGTTGACATTAATTTACTCTCAACTTCTCTAATTTTGTTCACTACACTGTACACATCCAACTGATGCAAATTAACTTCTTGTCCTCTCATCTCTTTCATATCTTGAAATTGTCTTAGAAAATAAAAAAATAAAAAATTTGTTTATCAATTGTAGCCATGCATATAGACAATTGCTGCTAAGAAAGCATGTGAAAAAAGCCATTTTTAAAGAGAATCTCAAATTGTAGCAATCAGTAATGGAAGTGTATGAAAACGAGTGAGAAAGAGAAAACAATATTTCCAAATTTATTTTAACAATTTTAGTTGAACCGAACACAAATTGAATTTTCGCATATGTACTAAATCTCTTCACATTTTTAATCTTCAAAATTAGTAATATTGTTGTTATACGAATTGTAACAATGAGAATAAAGATAGTATTTGACATGCTGGGCATGTATTATTTTCTTATTGTCATCAGCAAATATGAACTTTATATATTTCAATTAAGTATATCAAATGTGAATTATTATGTTGTCATAAAGAATTTTAAAAGTGATCTATAAATTTTGTCAAGTCTCATATAAATAAATCAGACTTGTCTTGAGAGCCCATAAAACAAGCAAACAAGTCCTGAAAATTAATGTTGCCTCGTATAGTATAAAGTATAAACCCAACAAAACAAACTGAATCTTGAAAAATTCCACCAATTAAAAACCTGACCTAACTGTAGAAAACTGATGCTCTCAGCATTTAATATATTTGGCTGGTCATTACAAGATGAGAAATATTTTCTTTTTTCAATTTAATAAAAATTTTGTTTGTCCCACACTTTATTCCAATGTTTGAACAGAAAATGGTCCAATTCATCATTTAATGTTTTTGGAACTAAGATCCCCAACATCTCACATGGCTTGCACAAACTGACATTAATACAGACAAATGTGAACAAATATATATATTTTGAATTTTGTCAATTTTGTAAATCTAGCTAGGTTTTTATTTTTTGAGAAATAAAATAGCCAACAAAAGTCAAAGGTCTTCCTAATTTATACCACTGCATAATATACCATACAATTGGACTTGTAGACTCTGACTTTCAGTCCATTTAGAGCCTTTTATATACAGGTTTGAGGTCCGGCCTTAACCCCCATCCTTCCAAGTGTTGCTTCTCTTAAAATATAAATAAATAAATAATATATCCAACAATTACAAGGAATTGACTTATAATTTTCATTATACAGGAGGAATTTGGGGCTTAATTGCATGGGTTGGTTGGCTGGCTTGAGGATAAAATTAATGATCAAGATAAGTGTTTATTTAATAATTATTCCACATTACTTTACACACACTCCACATAAAAAAGGTGTTATAATTATGGGCATGTTATTAAAGGGAAGGTTGTAAATTAAGCTTAATATTTTACTAGAGCACCTTCACATAAATATGATATTTCCACTTTTCGAGTTCTATCAGGTGTATAAATTACTCAAAAGTGACAAAGTTCTTGTTCTACAATTTTATTAATTAATATGCAAATACTTTTCATTTTCAGTTTAAGTCAGACATAACAATTCGTACACAAATTCTTGTATGAGATGATCTGCCAGTTAGGCTGGTTGATCCGTCGTAGTTTTATTTTTATATTTTACAAAACTACATACTTATGCTATGATATGTCACACTTTTATTTATGTTATTTTTTTAAATATGATATTATAATTATAATTATATATATATATATATATATTGAAAAATTATGTTATTGAATTTTTAAGCCTATCTAACAACATGTTTTGCCAAATTATGGTTTGCAAACACAAAGAAATCATTATATTTACCAAATTATGTAATATTGTTTTCTTAGATGCTGCTGATTATAGTATGGTCAGCCACCAATTATGTGCTGGCTGGCTGGTGATTAAAGATTTAGTGATTAAACTAATTATTATGTAATAAATTATATTATCTATGTCTATAATGAAAACAATTTTAGTGTTTTTGTATTTATCTCATTAATCAGAACTGTATGTACTCATATAATGAACTTCTGTTCACATTATTGTCTCTTGGTATGGGTTCAAACAATTCCAAACAAAATGACCTTCAAGAAATAGTTAATCATTTGCATTTAGTGCAATAAATAGCTCAATTTCAAATCGGAACCACGAATGATATACATTTTGACTGAACCAAGAGACAATATTGTACACAAATCAGTGGTTAGAAGCAAAAGGCCAAATTATTTTTGGCTGGTTGTAAACAAATGTGAAAAATTAAAGCTACTTTTTTTTTTATTTCTATATATTTTAGTGCTTATTTTAAAGAAATTAAGAATAAAGATCCAACCAACCAAGCTCCCCTACAAGTAAAATAAATAAATACACAAATATTATTGTTAAGTTGTATAACTATTAGACATCTCTACTTCTTATGAAAAATACAATTTATCATATAAAAATATCATACATTCTGTTTATATTGTAGTTTAAAGAATGAATGACGAGTGTAAAAGTATATACATAAATTGAAAAAATATAGTTGTCTAACCATTACGTGTATTACGTAAACAAATGATAAGAGAAGAATTACATAAATAAATAATGATTGTACATGGCCAAACCATCATTAATATCTTTAATTTCCCAAAAATATAAATATATTGACTGCAGTTGACAAAATGAGCACTCCACCTTCAACGAATGACGGCTAACCACATGGCGAACAGCCATAGGCTGATGCTCAGTCAGCAAAGATATATAACAAACAAAAGTACTAAACAAAAAAAGAAAAATCATGCACATATGTATAGCACTATTCACAATTATGTACTAAAAAACAGTATAAAATGCATTGAAATGTAAAATAAAGAGTCACATATGACATATTGGTCTGATGAGTATCATATGTTAAACCAATAATTGATAAAAAACAAACAAACAAACAAACAAAGATTCCCCAATAAAGTATAAAAGGTGGAGCAAACCTTGTATATAAAGCCAGGCAATTCAAAGGCATATATGACTATACAATCACATTTTCACCAAAAAAAAAAGGGACCATTTATTTATGCCACATTCCTTCTTTTCTTCTTCCTTCATCTAAAAAAAAAAATAAAAAAATCTCGAGAGAGAAAGTAGAGGCAAAAACCTTAGAGTGAGAAAGCTCTGATGGGGAATTGCCAGGCGGTGGATATGGCGGCACTGGTTATACAACACCCAAACGGGAAGCAAGAGAGGATGTATTGGCCGGTAACCGCTAGTGAGGTCATGAAAACGAACCCCGGCCATTACGTGTCCCTCATAATACCCTTGCCGGATTCCGGCAAGAATCCCGTTGTTAGGTACACTCGTGTCAAGCTCCTCCGGCCACACGATATTCTAGTTCTTGGTCGAGCATATCGGCTAGTCACCACTCAAGGTAAAAAAAAAAGTAGCATAGCTAGTTTTGCAAATGTGTTTTCAAGTTTTTTGTAGCTCATCTTTTAACTTTGAGTGTTTGTGGGATTTTTGCTGCACAGAGGTATTGAAAGTGGTTAAAGCAAAGAGGCATGCAAAGATAAAGGAGAACGAACCGGAATCTGGTAAGAACTTGCAGACGAGGGATGAAAAGCAGAGCAGTAATTCTCAGGCAGCAGAGATTAACCACACGGTAGTTTTTCTGCATGTGTTTCTTAATATATGATCTTGAAGAGAGAGTAAAATTAATACTCGTATAGTCAGAAAGTTGAGATAATTTTTTTCATAAAACTGATACACCGCAGTTTACAGAGCTTCTGTAACTCAGCAAAACGGTGAACTACTTTGAACTGAATGAAATGAACTTTGAGAGCTTTCTTGGTAATTATAAAACTTTGAAGGTTAGTAATAAATCAGAAATTATAACAATAATAACTGGACAATACTATCATTTTTCTTTTCCAAAAGAAACAGAATCTATCTACGATGTGTTTTTCAGCACAGTTCAAAATCAACATCGTATTAGAATCTTTTTAGCATTTTACAATTTGACATCGCTTAATTTTCAGGTCACGAGACAAGGAAAGCCAAGATCATGGCGGCCATCTTTACATAGCATTTCAGAATCTGGAAGCTGATGCAATCATATTCATGTATGGAATAAATTCCCAATATTACTCATGCAAAACCGTAAAAACACGAAACTATGAACTTGGAAAATTGTCAAGCACTAATTCCGCTTTTCTNTTGTATAGGCTATAGATTCATAGGTTCACAAAATTAGACTGTTTGTCACAATTAAATTTCACCACTCAGTCTCTTTATCCAAACTCAACTTCCTTTCTTGTTCTCTTTAGAACAAGAAAGTACTCCTTCGAGGGTTGTATTCATTTTGCACATTATTTACCACTCAAAAGAGCCCACACAAAGAAGAACAACATACATCATTGAGGTAATTGATAATCATGAAAGATAGTCTGCTTTATTATAATTCAATCAAACCTCTCAAGGGCAGTAAAACGCAATTATCCATAAATTGACATCATTTGTGTGATTTGGAGTTCCAAGTTTCCCAATCCTTGTCGACATGAATCTGTGCCCACAGTAACGAAAATCGAGCGGCTAATGGTGCACCGGGAAGATTTTTCTCCTTTAATGCCACCATCATATCTGTAAAAGGCTCGATTGGTAAAGTCCCAGGTCCTCCATAGTCTTTATGCAGGAAATCACTTAATATCTGATATCATATCAGAACTTTTAAACAATACAACGGTTTTCAACTAAGAAAATCAATACAAACTTCTTTTTTCGACAGAAATACAAGAATCGAGCTTATCAAGGACTGAGTTGAATTATCCTTCATGGTTACACAGAAATTAACCTAGACCAAATTGAAAAAAGTAAAAATAATAAATCTTGGACAGTCCCAAGCATCAATATATCACGGGTCGACCCGCCTTACGGATAGACTGCCGTACATAAGAATTGCTTCAAATTTATATATAATATATCTATATCAATAAACACAACCAGGAGCTATACCACTGATATATGATATTCAAGAGCTAATTGAAGCAAACATTAACCTTAGTACATAAATTTCATCAACCAGGACATCATAAAGTTCAGCTCAAGAACACCACACCAGGGAACAAAAATAAACCAGACATTAATACAAAAAAAACATATCACAAACCAAAAGCATATAAAGCGCAATTACCTCTGCGCAGATACTGACAACAATTTGAAGATCGTCTCCAAATGTATCTTTCTCCCTCAAAAGCCTCTTCAGTAATTCAGCCCTGAACTTCAGCGTCTCCTAATATTTTTGTTTTTCCCAAAAGAATTAACAGAAATTCGTCAAAATTAAAATAATCATTTGCAAAGTGCGAATTTGAGAGGGAAAAAAATTACTTACGGCGTCTGCAAATTCAGGGATGGGGTCAGGATAGACGTACGTCTGAGGTGAGACCGCACTCAGAGGTCGTGAAAGGGTTCCCGCCGTGGTGAATGGCATACGGGCGCGAAGGTTAATGTAGGCGGCGCACAGGTTAGCGCCGCCGGAGATTGGGGTTTTAGCGGGAAAGGAAGTCGGTGGCCGGAGGATTGAGTGGCTGCAGAACGACGCCATTTTGATAGGCTGAGGTCCGCCGTGGACATGGTGATATTTCATATTTTAAACGGACGGCTGATAGTTGGGCCGGGCCTATTTCAATGACCAATTAGACTAGATTTATGGCCCAATAAGAGCTTGTTTGTGGCCCATTACTTATCCTCATTCAAACAAATAAGAGAAACCTTATAAATAAGCCCAAAGAGGAATAATTGCAGACACAAGGTGAAAATGGTTGACACTATACGAAATACAAATAGACACAACACGATTAGAAAAATGCGATTGCAGAGACAAATAACACAAGGGCCACGACCTGAAATACAACAAGCAAAACACGAAATAAATAAATTAGTAAATTTTAACTTTATTATCATATTTTTGATTAAATTAATTTGATAACACGAAAATATGATATTCAAATGGGAATAAATTACAATAGCATGAGATAATGAAAAATGATACACAATCTAAGATAGTTTTGGTTCAATTTAGGGTCGACCTGGCTATGAGGCTAGTGAGTAGAACTGTTAAATTAAACGAGTTGCGTGTGAGCTCGGCTCGACTCAACTCGTTAAGGCTCACTCAGTTAACGAGTTGAGCTCGACTCGACTCAATAAAGCACGTTAAAGCTCGAAAAAATGATTTTAATGTATTTTTTTATAATTTGACTCGATATTGGCTCGTTAATATTAATAATTTAACAAATCGAGCTTGAGCTCGATTATAAACTCGTTGAGAGCTCGAGCTCGACTTGGCTCTTTACACCCTTACTGACGAGGCACTTGTATTTATAATTTGCTAAATGTTTTTATATTTCTATCAATTTGCACTCACTAAATCAACAACAATTATCCAATAAAATCTCACAAGCAGACGTTTCTATTTTATTTTTTATTCTTTTGCCTAAAGTTTTGCCTAAGATTTGCTTTTCATGATTAAGACAGGAAAAATAATGTTAGATGATCATGTGGATTGATCGAACAATATTGTATATATGCTTGCTATGTGTAAATTGACTGTTGATGATTGAAAAGACGAGCCTTTTTGTCTCCACACTTGGGGAAAAATGGGCACAAATCACTTGAAAGCATTGATAATAAGGAGAAAGAAAAAAACATAGCTAGGCACTTATAAACGCTCCCCTCCATTTACAAGTCCAATTTGCCTTTGCCATTCCCTTTTTTCATCTACTTTTGATGCTCACAAATTGGCATCCGAGGATAAATTCTTGAGTTGGAAATGAGAAAATATGTATAAATATAGATATAAGTGAGAAAATATCTTGTTGCGAGTGTATTTCATCCTATTAGTAACTATACTATTTTTTACCATTTGATCAACACACACCTGTATGAGAGTGTGTGTGTGTGCATTGGTCCAATTGTAATATATTCGGAGACTGCACTGCAATTACCAGTAGGGTCACGAATTAATCATTTGTTCTGAACTTAAAAATTGGTCCTTTAAGCAAAAATTAAAAAAATATCATTGTTAACTCATATTAAAGTATGCTATTAATAATATATGTATTTTGTTCATAGTATAATATCATGGTTAACTCGTCTGACAATTGACTCTTTTCACATATTTTCCATGTTTTGGTTACTATTTCAAGTGTTTATCTAATGACGCAATCTTGATTAATTTTGTCTTATTTAATTAACCGTCCAAATTTGAGCATGGAAAAAGGGTAAAGGGAAAATAATGGAGTTGTTGCTGTTTTGCATTCAGCATAAACTCTCATCTTTTTATCTGCAAACTCTGAGAATAGAATCATTCCAACTTTGGAATTCTTTTAGTCTCAGGGTCCATTTTCTTCTCTTTTTCAGTTTTTACAACACATAAAAATAGGGCTCAAAAGCTGATGTTAAACAGTTAAAAGCCCTTTGCCCAGCTTGAGTCGCATGCCCAATTAAAGTTGTGAAATTTAATTACATTCTTCACCTTCCAAGTTCCAATTCCCAAAAGAAAAAGAAAAAATAAAAAAATAGCAAAATTAAATGAAAATGAGAAGAGTATTTAAGCAAAAGACCATTTGCTGGTTGAAATTGGGTATTATTTGATTGCTCAACTTTTATAAATAGAACTTAGAAGGAATACACTATAAAATGAGGCTGCCTAGCTACTCGTTTCTTCATACTTTTTTTTTTTATATATAAAAATACATACTTATGATATGAAATGTCATGTTTGTTTATAAATTAAGATTGATTAACTGTTAGTTCTGCCGAACAGCAGTCATACTCGAGGTAAATTTGACGATCTTTTTTATTTTTTTATTTTTCAATTTGAAATAATTGAGAATGAAAAGTTATAATTCTACTAGAAAGTGAGACTTCAATAACGGAAAATTGTGTTGCAATAGGGCAGGTTTTCGTTACTAATAAACAATAGAAACAAGTATTTTCCGTTACATAATTGGTTACTGAAAACAGGGGTTCTGATGCTCAGGGACGGATTTCGTTCCGTTGCTATCATTAACGATTTTTGTAACAAGCAACTCGTTTCTAGTACTTGAGGAATAGCAACCAAATAAGAAACGAGACTATTTGTTCCTAATTATTCAGTATAGAAACCAAATTTGTAATGGATTGGTCCGTTCTTAATATCTTAATCTTAATATTAGCGACAATTAATGGCATAATTTTCCGTCTTTCATGCGACGCATCAAGTAATCACAAAATTAATTTTCAGTAAACTTTTTTTTTGCTTCAAATGAATCGATTAATACACTTATAAGAAACAACATTAAAAAAACAAAATACAATAATTTTATTTCATCAGTACAATAATAAATTCAATTGATAAAACATCAAAGTACACAAAATAATACAAACTACTAATAATTTTATATCCTCAAATAAAATATGGACTAATTTATTAACATTTGAAGATGATCTTCCAGTAGTATTGGCTGAGCATTTTCTTGTTCTTGTGTTGAATCCGTCATATATTGGCAGCTTATTCAACTCAAAATGCATTATTGTTTCTTCTACCGCTGAGATGAAGGCGTCATATGTTTATTCAAGTCCAGATGCGCCTCCTTCTCATAGTTATATTCTTCTGCCTGTATATCGGCATTAAATTATTCATCAAATCATATATTGGTGACAAGTTAAAAAAAAAATAGATTTACAGTATCAATAATTTTTCATCTAATCGCAAATATATTTGTGACAAGTAAAAAAAAAAAACTTAAATTTGCACTTACCCTATTCATTTTCCATCCATTTCTCAAAAAATTTTACCATTCTCGTTACACGATGGATTTTAAGATTTGTGAAGACTCTGGCGATCCTTCAAATCCAATTCTATTTTCTGAGATTTCACTGATCATGTTAATTCGCTTGTTCAGTTGTGATAATCTTCTGGTTTGTGGGTTTCACGCAACGTGGTTCCAAATTATTTATTAATTTACTCATTTTCAATTATTTATTTACTTAACCAGAACCCGTTATTAATTATTTATTAATTTACTCATTCTCAATTATTTATTTACTTCCCGTTATTTGTTACTTTACGTTTAAAGTTTTTTTATAAAATAAATAACAATATACAATTAACTTAGTTATTATAATACAATAATTTAATATTATGAATATACCTATTATAAAAAATTGTATAAGGAAATACTAACCAAAACAAAAGATGCTACAAAGAAAATTAGTTATTATAATACAATAATTTAATATTATGAATGTAACTATTATAATAAATTGTATAAGGAAATACTAACCAAAACAAAAGATGCTGCAAAGAAAATGATTATCATATATATGGCGACACATAGGAGAAAAGTTGTAGAAGAAACTAAATATTTAACTATATTATTTAGGAAAACTAAATATTCCATAGAGAAAAATTGCAAATAAAACTAAATCTTTAACAAAAGATGTAGAAAAACTAAACTAATTCAAATAAAAAATAAATGTACCAAACAAAAAGCCGAAAAAAATCAATAAAACTAACACTAATAATTCAATAATTTCATTGTAGTATTAAATATTATTTTAAAAAAAAAATTGTATCGTTTCGATTTCGTTCGGTTTTAAACTCATTTGATTAGCACGAGATGTTCGTTCGAACTCATTCAAGCTCGAAAAAAAAAATTGAATTAAATAAAATACCTTCATATTTTAAATACACTTATTACAAAACACATATTGAAAATACACTTATTAAAAAAGTCTCCATATTTATATTGTTATAACTCCTTTTTGTTGTAGTGTGATCTACTAATTGAACTTTTAGATAAGAAAGTGGGGCATTGAGTTTAGCTCATTTAGTCTACTTCAAGCATTTTTCTTAAACTAGCTCCGTATGAACCTTGCTCTAGTGTTCGAGGCTTGTAAAGACGATAAATGAAATATTTATGTTTTATATTAAAATTATATAAATTAGAATATGCTACAATTTTAAGTCTTTAACTTGAAACCATTTATATGTATTTGTAACATAGGGAGTTAGTCACAAAATTAGTTACTAATACAAATACAATTGTTTAAAATACATTTCGTTTCTAAAAGTATATTCTGTACTTAAATCATTGTTACTATTAACTACTAAACTTTTGTTGCAAATTATATATATTACACATGAGAGATTAAGTTTGTAGAATTAATTTGTGCAATTTTTCCACTTAAAGACAATGGATCAAATACAAAATTTGAGGATTTGTAGGCATAACTTCAGGTTGACTTGAAAATAGAAAACAGAAAATTTTGTCCTTTATATTACCGAGACAATTGGACGAAAAAATTAGGTAGCGGTTTGCTATTGATGATTGAATTATTTAACATACTTGGGTAGGCTGGAATCTAATAATTAAAATGGAAAACTTCATTGTACCCTAAAAAAAAAATGGAAAACTTCAATGAGATCTTTTGCTTGGCAAATATTTCAAATATATATTTATTTTTTTGGACTTGTATATTTTCTTTTTCGATACAAAGGAGGAGGCTAAAACCTATGATAAATATGATGTTAGAATTCGTCTGGGATGAGACACCCCGCACGGATCATGTTAAGTCATTTGGACTTTGTATATTTACACGTACACCATATATAAAGACTAAAGAAAGAGCATTGCATAACGTCATTTATTACCCATTCTCTATTTCTCTTGCATTTTATACATTCTTTATCTCATTTGTCAAAAATCTTCTTAAGTGCAAACAAAATAAAATTAGATCTC